CTCACACATGTGCTGGGAATCCTTGTCCTTGAGAAACAGTATGGTTTTTACAATCTCACCACGATTATCTTATACTTTGGAAGCAAACTAAGAAAGAAATACATACCTGTGAAATGTTAATAAAAGGGAATTAGGATGAACTAAAATAATTTAGAAGACGAAGGTTGAGAGAGGCATGTCATAGCTCATGCTGGTTTTCACTTGAGTTATCTGTGATTAGAAAACATTGGTTATATTCTGAAGGAGAGATCTGGTCGTGTGTGTAATAGGAGACCCCTCTGCCTGAAAGTGGAGGCACTGGGTGCTGGAGAAAGTGGCTTAAAGCCTAGTTGTTGATGGAAGCCGTGAGTGCCGGTGCTTAAAAGCAGTCATTAGTCACCCACTGTTCCCCCTTGATGGAAATTCTGTCCTTTCCCAGCCCGTGCTATGGTTGTGTATGGATGAGATGGAAGATGTTTGGTAATTTTGGTTCTCACCTCATGCTGTAGCCGGGAGCTTACCTACAGCAATGGTCCTTTGCAGGGGCCAGTCAGAGGGGCTGAGTGATAGAAAGGGAGAAGAAAAAGAGAACCTTATGTGACTGCTAAAGCAGAAATTTCAGATCTGATCTGTTAGTTAAGGATGCCCCCGAAAAGACTGTTTGCTTATTGCTAGGATTTAGTTAACCACGGAGGGCAAATTCTTATTTTCAATATAAGAGTAAAACAGTTAGTCTTAAACGCAGTTATTTCAGTCTCTATCAGTGGCACTTACAAAGGGAACAGAGGGGAGAGGGGATGAAGGGAGGATAAATACTCTACCACTGTGTACTCAAATTGTGGTCCGCAGACCACAGCATCAGTATCTCCACAGAGCCTCCTGGAGAGGCAGACCCTCAGGCTCCAGCCCACAGCCACCGAATGAGAGTCTGCATTTCAGCAGACCCCCAGGCAATTCCTGCGCACGCCGAAGTTTGACAAGCACTGCCGTAGTGGGTGATGACAGCCGAGTCTCCATGAGCGGTTTACTCGTCCGAGCGCACTTTGAGGAAGGCAAGTGAGGCATGTCAGCTGCAAGTATTAAATGTTGAGAATCAGAGTTTAATTTCGGTTGCGGCGAGAGACCAGGCCAACTGACCATGTTTGACTAAACAGCAACGTTTTGTTTAGGAGAGGCCGGGTTTGTTTACTGCGCAGATGACTTGCTCCGTGGCTTGCTGAGAGCAAGTCAAGAGCTGCAGCCCTGTCCTGGCGAGGAATGGTTTCCATGATGACAGTTATGCGCTGTGATCTCCTCTTACCTCTCTTTTCTCCCTACGAACCAACGGAGAAGAGAATAAAAAGAGTACTTTAATTTTTCTTTTAAGAATTCTTCATACCCATTTTTTACTTTATATCATGTTATCATCGTGGATTTCTCAGGGAAAAAGTCTGTGCAGAAAAGTGTGACTTCCTTAGTGATGTGCCAGGCCTTCCTTCTGGGCTCAACTCAAACTGACACAGCGGACAGGTGTCAGGGTTACATCATATTGACCTCAGCCTGGTTTGAAGAAGAGTCCCTCTGTTTGGTGTTTATCCTGTTTTACATCAATAGATCTTCAAGTGGAAAACCTTGGTGTTAAACAGAGTCATCAACTATCATGGTAACGTGTAGAATGACCTTTCTCCTTAGAGAAGCCTTTTATTTTCAGAGGAAATGAAAAATGCTCATAGATAGTGGTGACTACTGTATGGCAAGTTCTTGTAGGTTCAATTCTTTTATAATGTGATGCAAAGATGTTTTTGTCTGTTTAATCCTTCCCATTATCTGTGATGGTCATATATGACTTCTACATAGGTAAAAATCCACTAACCTGTCTTTTGTAAAAATAATAAAACAAAAAACCTGTTTCGCGATAAAAGGATTACGACTACGAAAATCAGCTGTTAAGGGAGTTAGAGTTAATCCCACGGTGTTTCCTTCAAGTCCCACAAAAAATCTGTCAACTTTTTAGAGGCACTGCCTCTGTTACACTCCAGTCCAAGCCACTGGAATCTCTTTCCTGGATTGTTTCAGTAGCTGGATAACTAGTCTTGCTGTTTCTTCCCTTGCTCTCTCTTCAGTCTGTTCTCAACACAGCAACCAGATCATATTTGTCTCTGCCCAAAATATTTCAGTTGCATTCCAGGGCTCTCAGAATAAAAGCCAAAGGCCTTCTCATGCCCTCAGAAGACCATTACTTACCTCTCTGACCCCACATCCTGCTACGTCTCCCTTGCACATCCCAGGTCAGACAGGCCACACTTCTGCCTCAGGGCCTTTGCACTTGCTGATGCCTCTGTCTGGAACTATCTTTCCCAAGGTATCTGCATGACTCTTCCCCAAACTTACTTCAGGTCTTTGCTCATATGTCAATTTCTCAGTGAAGCTTTCCTTGACCACCTTATTTAAAATTTAACTCCTCCCTCCACACACCTGACGTTTTATATTTTAGTTAACATACGGTCATTGTTTGTCTCCTCCTAGAATGTTACCTCCTTGAGAAGAAGGGGTTTTGTCTTGTTCATTGTGGGTCCAAGTGCCTAGAATAATGCTTGGCTTATTCAAGGTGCATACTGTTTGTCGAACAGCTGAGTGAAGTTGGCCTTCTCCAACCCCATGACTTGATATGAATTTAGAGCCTTGGGCATTGTGGGACTTATTCCTCCCAGTTTTGTTTTCATTCTTATCACGTAAGAGGACTGAAATGTTAGGAGAACATCTTTAAAATATTAACCACAGCTGTGAGCCATTTAAAACATTCTACGCAGTGAGTTAGGAAGTGCCAATTAATTGTTGACTTGTAAGGCAAAGGGGAGAGTAACACAGTCGGTACACATCAGGTCTCCCGTGAGCCAAGCGTGCAGAGTCAGGCCCCGCGGAGATGAGGAGGAGCAGGATGTGGGCCTCCTTCAGGGATCTTCACACTTTCTTGCTCTCAGCCCCTTAGTTGTGGCAGCACCCACAGTGAACTCAAAGTCTTTGATGCCCCCTCCTCTGCGGACTGCTGCTGTGGGTGTGTGCGCGTGCATGTGTATTTGTCTGCCAGTGTTGTCTCATCAAGGGCTTCCTTTGGCCGCAGTTTATGTTTTCCTTTTGTTTATAGTGTTTCTTAGTAACACACTGCCACAAGTCCTCTCCTCAGAGTTGCTACCCAAATGTATCTTGAACTTTGCGCTGTTTGTCTTTTAGTATCTTAAGACTTATTTTGGCCACTAGGAAACAATGAAGTTACAAAAGTCCATGGAGTCAGTGCCCAGCCAGTTATTGGCACCCCTGGGATGGGACGACACTGGGGAGGATGGAGCCCAGTCGGAGAAGCCTTCTGATCTACCTGGCAGAGTTAGCCCTGTTGCTGATGGAGGCAACAGGTTCTAACAGGCCAGAGGTACCGTTCATTCAATAAGATAGCTCTTGAATGTCCACTGTTGTGGAACATGCTAGTAAAATGAGCACAGTATCCACCCTTATGGAGCTTAGTCTGGCGAGAGAAATAAACGTAAATTAAATAATCACATAAATGCGTAACTATGAACTGTGAGAGGTGCTGCAAAGGAGAAGATCAAGGTGCTCTGGGAGCTTAAAGTAGGGGATTTGTCTTGGGGTCTTGTGACAGTTGAGCTAGGATCTGCCGCTCACTAGGCATGTGTGTGCTTTGGGGGGAAGGGGCAGAGTTTGTGCATTAATTTCTAGGCAGAGGAGACGAGGTGTGCAAAATCTCTGAGGCGTTAAGGGATCTCGTGCATTCAATGGAGGAGAAGGAGCCCAGTGTTACTGAGGCGTGAGGACAACAGGGGAGTGGTGCATGGGGCAGACCAGGGAGGTGAGCCGGGCCGAGCAAGGCCTGAGAGTCAACTTTCAGATGTTTATCCTAAGACGGATGAAGAGCGTTAAAGGGGTTTGAGTACAGCTGAGCCATGTTCTCTTTTCTATTTTAAAGTGTTTACTCCGGACACATTGTGGATAATGGACTGGAAGGGAGAAAGAGTGGGAGCTGGGAAAATAGCTAGAAGAGTTTATTTGTCCGGGAGAAGGATGATGGCAGCTTGGATGAGGATGGTGGTCCTAGAGGAGACAGGAGAGCTCTGTCTGGAGAGAGAATACGGGAGGCTGTTGGCGTTTGCACTGTGATTGCACTGAGCGATCTTCTGGTAGTTTGGCTTGATCTTTAACCTGCCTATAAAGGTGCCTATACCTGGGATTTCGTATTGCTTGACTAAAGAAATGTGAATACGTTGGTCAAGTGGAATGGAACAAGAGTCCAGGCTGTTGGATAATTACAGTATTTTCATTGTGAGTGAATCCACAGGCATCCTGGCTTCGTATGTCTCTTATGAGCTTTGTTAGCACGAATCAGTATTGATAAACATGATTGTTTCTGGAACCTTAGTGAGACAGACTTTTGGAGCCGGTAGAGTTGGGGGACAGAACCTCGAGAATGATGAATTTCCCAAGGTAAATGTCACCTGGTGGGGACTCTGGACAGCTGCCTTTCCTGGGAAAATCCTCTTTTTCGATGAATGCTTTTCCATTATCATTTTAAAAAATAGTTTAGGTAAATCTATAATAGCTATATCCACCAATTGTTCCTGCCTTTAGAACAGCAATGATTTCACCCAGTGGGGAGAGGTGCTGCCCAGCTATAAAAGCTCTTCAGAGGGAATGTAGTCTGAAAAGGCGTATTCTACGTAGAAGCATTCAGAGTCCAGGAGAATCTTATTCTGAATTCTTTCCCTGTGCACCAAACTTTTTCCTATGGCCTGTTGATTTTGTTTGAAACCATAAGGTGTTTGTTTTTCAAATCTCCTATTATCTATACATCTGATGATCTTGTCTTAAGGATTCAATTTAGGAACTCAGTAAAGTTAGGCAGCTGAAGTAATTGACTAAAGTTTAATGCAGCCCTTTTGATACTCTGAAGTTCAGAGGATGTCAAACAATGATATAAAATATGTGTGTGTATTTGTGACTACTCACTAACAATATTTTCCTCATTTTTTCAGGAGACAAATGGAAGAAACAGAAGAACTTTTAATGAAACAGAATAAACCACTGAACAGGTAACTAACATTAGCGGGGGTTGTGTATACATTGATTAAATGAGTTCATATTTGTGAAGTCCTTAGAAGAGTACCAGGCACATAGTAAATGTATAAGTTTTTGGTATCATTCTTTTACATATACCTGAATCCAGAACAAACCAGTCATACAACCAAAAACTACGCAACAAAAACAAACCCTTTGCTCCTAAAGCAAGTGTGAACATCATTGGTAAGTTCTGATGTTGTCTCTGTGTGACCTGATATAGTGGCCTGAGAAACCTAATTTCTTAATCTTTGAGCACCCTAAGTATTTGAACACACATTCATTTTTGTTTTTGAGCACTCATTCATGATGACCTTATAAGTGTCAGATCAGTTTCAATTTTGAAACAAAACAAGTCTCTTTAAAACTCTTGGCGAGATGGTTCTTCATTGCTTGGGGAAGTGGAACATAGCTTAGTTTACGGGTAGCCACTGAAATGGCTAATGGAGGGTTAGTAAAGACAGAGAGAAGGGCATTGAGAACAGCACTCCTGTTTTCTGATGATGGCAGGTGATGACTTGAAATAAGAGGTTTCAAACTGTTGACCCTGCTTAGTGTCAAGACCTACTGACACATTCCACAGACATTGGTAAGGGGCATATTAGGTGCCTCATGCTCCGCTGGGGGTTGGGATTGCAAAGTTGAACACATCGCCTTTCTCCTCTCCCACCCCATCGCTCTGGATCTGCTCCGGTTCCTGCCTTTTTCACCTTGCTGTGGGGAGACCAGGGTCACTGGGCCACAGCGATGCTCTAGATGCCACCTTCCCTCTCATCTTCATCTCTTCTGTCTCCCCTGCTCCTCCCTCTCAACATACCACATGATTTATTCAGGATGGGGAGAAAAACACCGGTTTATTGATTTATTTATTGAGGTGTAGGGACTCACACTCCAATTTGATAGATGGAGACCTTTCTCCAGATGTCACTCATATTGTACCTTCCTTCGCCCTGACTTCTCTTTCACAATTTATGTAGTTTATCTTAAATGCTCCGTCGTGTTGTATTTTGCCATCTTTCCCTTCTGGGATATTATCTTTGGAAGTTACTTTTCTGTTTGGAGGTGTTACAGATGACGCTGTTAACGTGAGCGGGGCGGGCACTGCTAGTGCACGCAACGTGTTAGTGGCTTTCAAACCTTGTTATTGGAACCCACAGGAAGAAATATGTGTTAGGTTAGGACCCAGTGCCTGCATCTGTACATGTAGCTGTATGGTTTCCTGAAAACTTTACTATATGTGAGTTGTGATAGAATTTTCTAGTCTATTGTATTCTGTTGCTTATTTTTTTTCTTTTTTTCTCTCTTCTTTTTAAATGCTCCTCATAACCTTCAGAATGGGTTTCATAATCTACTAGTCAGTTGTACTTTGACAAACTTGCAATAGCTTTATGCTATGGTAGGGGCACATGCTTTCTTGCCTTTTTCTCCCTATTCTGTGGTAATGTGCACAAGTCTCTTTTATCCCTAAAAACCCCCTCAAACTTGCCTTAATTCTTTATGTGCAAAACTCTCTCCTTCCTTTTGTAGCTAAGCTTCTGTTTCTGTTTTCTCACATACCATTCACTCCTCAACTTTATTTCTGTTTGAACTTTGACGTTCCTTTCCTGACCAATAGCAAAGAATCATTTTATTTACCATTTTGAATGAAATAGATTCCTCTGTATTGTTAGATCTTGTGTATTAAATATAATTTTCAAAAAAGTAGCACCTTTATTTTTCATTAATTCCTATACTTGTTTAGATCCCCATATTTAATTTCTCAGAAACATAACTATTCTGATGGTCTAATCTCACAATCTTTGTCCTTACATGGTCCGGGAATCATAGAATTATAGCAATGATGAGGGTTTTTAAAACCTTGTTATCATTTTGGTTGCTGTCATGGGCTGCAGAGAGACACCTGCTGGCCCAAATGTAGTAGTGCATTGATTTTCTGTCCTGAAGTCCATCATATTGTCACTTTTAGGACCTTAAACTTTCGTGGTATGCACGTAAGCTTGTATATTGGAATGCCTTGACATCCAGTCTCAAGTGTTTTTAGGGTTTCCAGCTCAGTATCTAATGAACTGAAACATTCATACCATATCACCCCGTCAAAGAGCTGATGTTTAATGGGGAAGAAGGATTTCATGGTAAAACTTGATTCCTTACCTTCGTGTGTTCTTAATGGGACTAGAAACGGATGGTTTAGTAAACCACCCAGAGCCAGGATCCATTTAAGACTTTGGGAAATGATCATTCACTCTTCCAAGATAGTTAAGAACTGGAATTTTAAATGGTGTGGGTTTGCAGCTTGACTTGTTATATGAGGCATACATTTGGTCTTAGTTATAGGTCTAGTGCTGGAAAAACAAGAATCTAAAAGCTACTGCCTATTTTGAGCCCCTAACCAGAAGATCCCAGTGACTTTTGTGCACTGCTTATTTTAGCAAAATTCTCATTGATTTCAGAGGCAAGTTTATTTATGAAGAATCATAATTATGTACATCTGTAAGATTATACAGCGCATTCAACAAATGTTAAAGATTATAATGTGCAAAGTGATTCTTTTTAAAAAAAACTGAGCCAGTATTCACTGGTCTTTAAGGACTATTTCCAAGGTTTATAGGCAATAAATGAGGCAGCGTACCCCAGTTTTCTGTGTTGAAAAGATCTCATTTGAGAAGTCATAGAAGTTTCTAAATTTTTTTATTGAAGCCAAGGCAAAGTTTAGGGTTTGGTTTAGGGTTATCGTTTGGTTCTTTGAGTACATTCTAATTTCAGTCGTAATTAATGAAGCCTTTCCATATCATTATGAATGTAGCAGGTTTGCTGAAAACTTATTTTACAATTATTTTAAGTGCCATATAGCACAATTTGGGTTACTTATTTTGTAGTATCTAGAGTATGAAAATACTCTGAGAACAAAGCAGCAGACTTTAATAGCTAAATGTTAAGGTGTATTTATCAAAATCTTTTGAAAAAATCATCTAGGATTCTGTTTTGATTTTCCCTTTTTTTACTTTCTAACACAAATTTTAATGAATCATAAAGTGTTTCTTCTATTAAATAAGTAGAACACATACAATATTAAAAATTTCTGATGTTTTCTTCTTAACCTCGAGTTAAGGGACACTAAGTTCTTCCTGGACATCCACTCCTCAGATATATTCTTCCTTCTTTTGCCCAGTAATCATGTTGAAGATTAATTAAATCAGTCCAGTATTCTATGGCCTTGTGCATTTCTCTCTCTTGAGTTAGGACGCAGTTAGGACCATCTCTGCATGAAAGAGGGCCTGGACAGGTCCAGGGGATGCAGTGGCACTTTCCTGGCAGTTGTATCATTTCAAGATAGTTGAGGCCAGTCCTAGGAAAAGGCCAAAAGGGCTAGACTGATAGGTGGTCCTGAGCTCTCTCTAACCTGAGAAGAAACAAAAGGGAATAACCACCGAGCTAATGGAAAATCCAGTCTCGGAAAAACTGAATAAGCAGCTCCTGTAGAAAAGCCATGAAGACACATCCTTGCTGCCTTTCCCAAGATAGCAATGGACTGCAGCGCCCACATCACCGTCATTGCTGCATCTGCTCGAACGCTGATCTCGTGTTTACTGTTACAGGGAATTCTTTTCATTCTCTTTCCTCTTACCTTTGAGACACCCTACTACTTGTTCTCATTCCTCTCTGATTATTTCTTCCAAGTAGCTTTATAAGCCACCGTAAAACCTTGGTGTTATCGCTCCGTCTTCCCTTTGTCCGTTCCATTCCTGGTTGGTGAACTCACAGGATTAGCACGGCATAGCAGAGTCAGGTGCGTAGAAAGTAATGTGAGAGAGGCTGCAAATAAATACTTCCAAAGCCCTACATTTGAATCCCAACTTTTCAAAAAAACGAAGAAATCATAAAAAGAGCCTTTAACTAGAAATTTTGTTGTCGTTATTTGGAAGGAATTCTAAGAGTGAATTCCAGCTTGTTTCCTAACCTGTCCTTGTTTATTCAGAGTACCCGCAACATGCCTGGAAGCCAATAGAAAAACAGCAGACTGTTTATGTTATTCCCTTTAACCAACAGCTTTGAGAGTATACAGAAGAGGGAGCTAAATGCTTGCCCCCCGCCGTGCCTCCAGTTCATAAGCGCTTGTCTCTTCTCCCCTCCTTTTCGAAGTTGAACTAAGCACCATAGGACAAGACGATACTGGCTTCAGAGAGGAGCCGAACTGAAAAGGATATTATTGATAGTTCCAGGGGACAAATTATGGCAGAAATGTGAACAGCATTTGGGGACAAAAATACTGTGTTTGAGTTTAATAACCCCAAACAAGAAGAACAACATGTCTTTAAAAAGTATTTCTTAACTCAGGCAGTTTTTCTGGCTGTTTTCCTCTGTTCATTTTCTGAGAGGGAAACTGAAGTGAAAATAGATGCTGTTCTTCCTTTCTCAGGGAGCCTAGATTGATCATGGAAAGTGTGAGCCGCCACGTTAGGTAGCCAAGCACTTCTTTTAAAAGTGTGAATGAAAGAAAAAGAAGATGGTAAACAAGAAGATACGAAACAGTACGTGTGTTATGGGTTACTAGTTTTGAACTTCAGTGCTTAACAATGGTAAAGTCTAGGTATTCATGTTGTTGTCATGAAATAAGGTAAGTGAAATGCTTGATTCATTGTAAGTGCTCAAAACATAGCAGCCACTATTGTTACCATGGACAAAGGTACTCAGTGACACTCTCAGTAAATTCTTTTGGTTGTGTTTCTTATCGTTAGGGATTAATTTGTTTTGGTTTGTCCTATATTTCTTTGTGATTATTGTTTTCTTTGCCATACAAATTATGTTGATAACATTTATTATTTCCTATGCGCTAAGCATTGGGTGAAGAGCATGAGGGTGGATACTGCTGTCATCCCAGTTTTCTAGAACGGTCATGGTATCAGAAGGCTTACTTAGGTTGGTGCGTGAAAGAATAGTCACCTAACCCCTGATGGGAATCAGCGATAACCATAGTCTCATGAGAACCATATGCTAGTTGGCTCCAAATAATGTTGCAGCAATATTTAAAGCTTTTGGTTTTAACACTGTTGATTAGCTGTGATAGCCACACAAGGAAAGTATACTCCTTGTTAAAACAGAGGAGGTTTTAACAGAATAAAAAATAACTCAGATTTTCCTAAGTTTGGAGCATTACTTTAATAATCTTGAGGTTAAAGATTTTTAAGTAAATATTTGCAAATTTATAGTCTACTCTGTAGTCCTCAGGGATAGGATAGCGTAATATTAAAAAAAAATTGAAAGGAGCATTCCCTTTTAAAATGTATGTAATCAACATGATTCGTATATTTCCTGAAATTTGGTATTTTCAGTTGTACCGTACATCTTGCTATTTCAGTAGGAAGTGGACCCTTCGGGCAGACAAATTCCAAAAGATTTCAGTATTTTGGCTATGTCTAAGTGAATAATTGGAAGAAAATATATCCAGTACCTCTGATTGAAGGGGCAAATATATCTAGAATCAGAGTTCAGCTTACCACTTTAATGGAAGGGAACGTTAACGTTGGTGATCAAAAGTTTTCGGGGCCGGCCCGGTGGCGCAGCGGTTAAGTGCGCACGTTCCACTTCGGTGGCCCAGGGTTCACTGGTTCGGATCCTGGATGCGGATATGGTACCACGTGGCAAGCCATGCTGTGGTAGGAAGATGGGCATGGATCTTAGCTCAGGGCCAGTCTTCCTCAGAAAAAAGAGGAGGATTGATTGATGTTAGCTCAGGGCTAATCTTCCTCAGAAAAAAAACTATCAGTGTCAGAGCAAAGGAGGTGGTTAACACTTGAGTCTGTCTTGATAAGGCTCCTGTCTCTCCTCCCCCTCCATTCCCATCTTTTTTTCTTTTTTTAAGGTAAAATTATGGTAGGATTAAGATTAAAGACATTTGAAGGAGAAAATAAGTCACAAAATACTTTGAATTGAAGCATCTGAATTTGGAATTGGAGGAAAGGTTAGAGGACATTCGCCTTAACCTTTTCAGTTTACAGAGGAGGAAACTGGATTTCTGAGGCTGATGGGACTTGCCATAGAGCTGTTACAGGCACGACTGCTGCTGACAGGGGGATAGCACTTATTTAATCGCAAGTTTTAATGATTCTTTTTCAGCCTTATTGAGGTATAATTGACAAATAATCGTGTAAGATATTTAAAATGTACAACGTGACGATTTGATAAGCCCATGCATTCTGAAAGGGTTCCCGTCACCTTCATAATTTTCAAATAGGAATATGAAACCTCAGTCTCGTTTTTCTTCTGTTTTTTTAACACACTACTTGGAAAGTGTGTGTCTTAGCAAAATGTAGTGGAAAGCAGAGCCTACTCATAGCCAGGTCACTGTGTTTTCCACTCCGCTAGGTTGGGAGGCAGCCTGACATGTGCACAGATAGCAAAGGAAGAGAGAAGCACCATCTTTGCCTCAATGACAGTCAAAGTTTTATGGGATAATTTTTAAACCTGGAACCACTTGCTTTTCTGACAACAGTTGCTCCCTGAGAAGTTCCATGTCTTTCTCAGCTGTGTGTACCCCTGTTCAACCCAGAAAACAATACTCCCAATTCCTATATTCTAGAGAGGCCTCTGGCAGATCCCCTCAATAAACAAAATGCTCCTGTTGAGAAGGTTCTTATCCATATTATTTTCTCCTGGAAGAGAAGCGGCTTTAGCGTTGGCCGTTGGCTTATTATTACTGCACTGTGCTTGCTGAGGCTGCGGTTTGACATTGACTCTCCTCCCCTGCCCCGTAAATCATTCAGCTTCTCAATTAAAAAAAATCAAATTCCCACAACCAGCTACTGCTCTCGCCTGGATGGCTGCCTCGAAAATGAATGCTCTTGGTTCCAAGTACAGTTCATGAAACAGGGTACATGGGGCAGGAAAATGAACATCATCACCAAAAAAAGTCCCAATATGTAATACCACTAGTAAAAAGTGTCATATTCGTAAAGTGCAGACATTACTACTCTTTTATCCAAAAGCTGTATCTTTCTTAGAAGCTGATTGACTAGATTGGTACATACTTGAATCATCCTTTTTTTAAAAAAAAAACAAAAAACTACAGGAAATGTACCCTAACCCATGTGAAAAGTATTGGTTTTAGACATAATGAGTACCTGGTAGAAGTAAACGGTTTAATCTGACCTGGAAAAGATGTAACCTAAATATACCTAAAAATAACCTCAAAATTATTATAGTGATAAATAGCCAAATCATATTTTTGGCTTCTGGTATGACATTGACACTGGTATGTAGACAGTTATTATTCAATTAGAAATTTTATTTTGACAGCATTCTGCCTTACATATATTTTTAAAAAGGAGTGTTAAACCATTGCCTTCCTTGTAACAGACCGCCGAGAATGTATATATAGCAGTGTGATAAAGCATTGCCACAACATACTTAAACCTCAGACTTTGTCTGTTATCTGAGTATTTCATTGTATTCTGAAAGAATCCTGAATTATTCTAATAATTTAATCCTCCATATCACAATGTACATTATGCATAATACATCAGTATACCTTATTTTTTTAAACAATTTTTTAAAAGTTTTTTAATAATTTTTTTTTAAGTTTGGAAGATATTATGTTTGGCCACAAGGCGCTTTCATTGAGAAAAGTTTCAAATTATGTGGCCAAGTGAATAGTGGTCAGACAAAGACCTAAATGTTATTTCTCTTTTGTTCCAGGATCCGTTTGCACTGGCCATTCTAATTCAGATGATAGAAGAGGAGGAACAGAGCCTCCTTCTTTGAATTTGTGGGAGCACATAGTGTTTGCCCTGCTTTAAACACACGGACCTGGTAGCTAGGAGAAGTAACCATGCTACCCAGAACAATGTTGATTTTTACTTATTTTAGTGTCTGTATAGGCCCTATCCACAGGGGTATATAACTTGAAGACAAAGGTGGGTAGATTGGAGGAAAGGGAAGTCTTTGGTACCTAATTCTTTCGTATTTTTCTGAAACCTGGTGGTGCACTCGTCACAGTGTATATTATCACTGCGATTTCTTTGGATCCTATTTGAAACTAATGAGGAGGGTAACATAAGTGGGTGCAAAGAAAGAAATGCCCCTCCGAGCTCTGAATCAGCTAGACTGGCAGTAACCCCCATGGCTACAGGATTCACTGGCTGAGGAGATGAGACATGGAAGAGGTGTCAGACGTGATGGGCTAATATAAAAGTTGATGTACCAGCGCCTAAGAATGAATTCTCTGTAACTTTTAAGTAAGTAAGAGTTAGATTCATTAGGGAAAAGTGGGTCCCCACTCAGCCACAGTCTCACATGCTTTCTAGGGAGGGAAGAAGGAGATGAAGTCTGAGCTAATTTGCTGGGAAGCATGCTCAGGATGCAACAGGGCATCAAAGTGAAACAGAAGCTCCTCATCTCTCCGGGGTTCCAGCTTCCCTCTGTGTTTGTTCCCTCCTTTCTCCCACCGTTGCAGCCTCACTCCCAGTTATGGCTGGTTAAGGGTACGAGACATTACGAGTGAGGGCTCTGGATCCAGACTTTCCGGGTTCAGATACTGGCTCCGCCATTTAGGCAACTGCCTTAATTTCTTAGATTCCTCCTCTGTAAAACATGGATGATATCAATATTGATAAATGTGGGGTTATTGTAAAGTGCTCAGAACTCCATCAGGCACACTCAGCACTCAGTATGTGTCAGCTTTTGTTAAAATATATGACCTATTTAATTTTTTAAAATTTCATCATCTCTTCCTAACTCCCATGTAGGGAGAATAGACAGTAAACTTAGGGTGAATGAGAGAAAAGTGACTTGCTCGGTATATTTAGAATTGTTGATTATTAATGTAAATGCATCCTTTTTTTGGTGGGTTAGTTTCCAAGATAA